GACTGAAATCCCTGTTACCTTTGAACCGTCCCAGGGGACAGGTAAATATTTGAGGGTAAACCAGCAAGGGGCAGTGACCTGGGGCCAGATCTCTGCATCCCTGGAGCTGACACCAAGCCAGGGCAAGCAGGCTGCAGCCTCAGTGTGTGTGTGTGTGTGTGTGTGTGTGTGTGTGTGTGTGTGTGTGACAGAGAGAGAGAGAGAGACAGACGACAGACAGACAGACCAACCCTCTCCCCTTCCCAAACCCAGAGCTCACTTGTGAGTCTCCCTGCAAGACCCAGCCAGTCCCAATGATCCTATATTCAATGTGGATGGAAGAGACCAGGGCTGGAGCGTGGTCAGCGCAGATGCAATGTACAAAGACAAATATTCCTAGCTTGATAGATTCCAAGGCCAGAAGAGAACATTGTGATCATCTAGTCTAACCTTCTGTATAACCCAGGCCAGGGAATTTCCCAAATATAATTCCTGGAGCAGATCTTTTAGAGAAACATCTAATCTTGATTTAAAAATTACCCTCACTGTTAAAAATGTACACCATATTTCCAGTCTCGGTTTGTCTCGCTTCAACTTCCAGCCATTGGATCGTGTTAGACCTTCCTCTGTTAAATTAAAGAGCCTGTTATCTGTTATTTGTCGCCCAGGTAGGTACGTATAGGCTGTAACCATATCACCCCTTAGCCATCTCTGTGGTAAGCTAATAAATTGAGCTCTTGAGGATATCACTATAACGCATGTTTCTCGTGGCTCTTCTCTGAACCCTCTCCAATTTATCCACATCTTTCTTGAACGATGGACACCGGAACTGGACACAGGATTCCAGCAGCGGTCACACCAGTGCAAATACTGTACAGAGGTAAAATCACCTCTCTGCTTCTACTCCAGATTCCCCTGTTTATGCATCCAAGGATCACATTAACCCCTTGGGCCACAGCATCACAGTGGGAGGCCATGTTCACCTCATTCCTACACACCTCCGAAACTTTTTCAGTCATTGCTTCCCAGAATAGAGCCCCCCATCCTGTAAGTATGGCCTACGTGCTTTGTTCCTAGATGTGTACATTTACACTGAGCTACACTGAAACACATATTGTTTGCCTGTGCTCAGCTTACCAAGTTATACATAGAATTCTGTATCAGTTACCTGCCCCCCCACCCCGTTCCAGCATCCCGTCTGCATTATTGTTGATAATTCTGCCATTTGATTTGATAATGGACCAGTACCATTGTTAGGATTCATTTTGTTCCTAATATACTTTAAAAGCTCCTTCTTATTGTCCTTAACTCAGCTGGCCATAGATTTCTTCATGTGTCATTTTGCTTCCCTTATCAAGTTTCTACAGTCCTGATTTATATTCATTTCTGTCAACTTCTCCTTTCTTCCCTTTGATATACATCATTTTAAAAAATATTTCATAGTTGCTTTCATTTGCCCTCTGAGCCAGGTCAGTTTTTGAACCAGTTTGATTGATTGTGGCTTTTGAGACATCTAGTAAAGTGTTCTTAAATAATTCCCAATTTTCATTCACATTTTTCTGATTAAATTTTTCTTCCCAGCTGGTTTGCCTCATAATTGTTTTCAGCTTTGTGAAACAGGCCCTTTCAACCACCGAGTGGAAATATTACTGGTCTGGACTTTAATCTGTTGGCACATTATAGATGTGATTGAGTCAGGATCACCTGTACCTAGGGCTACCGTTCATGTTTAGTTCTGTGATCAGCTCCTCTTTATCTCTCAAGGCGAGGGCTCATATAGAACACTCCCCTGGCGGATGGAACACTTTTTGAGTTAGGAAAATATATAAGAAATTCCAAAGACATTTTAGTACTGGCAGCACCTGACCGCCAGCATGTGTCACTCACATTGAAATCCCCCAGGATCACACAGCTTCTTTTCCTACACTCTATAAAGAGCTGCATAAGGAGCCACTCATCCTGTTCGTTAGTGTGATTTGGTGATCTGCCCCAGACACCAGCTAACCCCACATCTTGTGCTGTATCGGTTAGGACAGGGATCCATAACCATTCAAGATCTTTTTCTCTCAAGTTGTCAGTGACTCGGAGACAAGTCTGAGACACTCTACTGACCAGGTGCAAATGGCAATGTTCTTTACTTTACAACTTAGCCACATCGACATGGATTTTAATGGCAACAGGAAAAACCCTTCTCTTCCCCAGCACAATCCCCCTGCCAAATTTCAGTCTCAGGATCAAAAGCATGGAGGCGCTAGAACTCAACAAAATGCTCAGAAAAATGGATTGCCTTGGAAAAAACTACCTGTGTTAATGCCAACCCTGTTCTCAGAAATGGCTCGATTAGTTTTTGCTGAAAGTTTATGTGACGTTATTGACATAATCTGGGACCATATAGAACATGGTTGCAACCAAAGTCCTGTAGTGGCACCAAATCTTGTATAAAGGGGGTCAAATGAGGTGTCTAAGACAAGGTTAGGGTTTGCTGGTTATGATTATGCTGTCTATATGTGTGTATCAGTTTTGTAGTTGAAGTTATGAATATTGGCTCTATACTGTCTGTATTTCAAACTTATGCTATGCTTCTGGGTGACATCCCAGACAAGTTGGTGTTAGCTCTGCCTAGCCTGCTTGATGGCCCATTAAGGACCATCAGCTATACAATTGACCCATTGAGAGAAGGCAGATACGCCCTGTAACTCAGCAAAGTATGCAGAGATTTGCCCATGTGACTCCAGACTCTATTTTGCTGTAATTTTCCACAGTAAGAACAAAGAGGTGTTCTTACACCTGGAAAAGACTATAAAAGGCTGATGCCTCGTCTCCATCTTGTCTTCAATCCTGCTTCTTACCTCTGGAGGGACTTCCTACAAACGGAAGCTCTACACAAAGGATTGATGACCCATCCCAGCGTGGGATGTATTCCAGAGACTTGATTTGAACCTGCAGTTTATTCTATCTCTGCTGCAAGCCTGAACCAAGAACTTTGCCATTACTGTATGTAATTGATTCCATTTAACCAATTCTAACTCTCATCTATATCCTTTTCCTTTTATGAATAAACCTTTAGATTTTAGATTCTTAAGGATTGGCAACAGCGTGATTTGTGGGTAAGATCTGATTTGTATATTGACCTGGGTCTGGGGCTTAGTCCTATGGGATCAGGAGAACCTTTTTTCTTTTATTGGGGTGTTGGTTTTCATAACCATTTGTCCCCATAACAAGTGGCACTGGTGGTGATTCTGGGAAACTGGAATGTCTAAGGGAATTGCTTGTGTGACTTGTGGTTGGCCAGTGGGGTGAGACCCAAGTCCTCTTAGTCTGGCTGGTTTGGTTTACCTTAGAGGCGGAAAAACCCCAGCCTTGGGCTGTAACTGCCCTGTTTTTAGCACTTTGTCCTGAATTGGCACTCGCAGTTGGGTCCCGCCAGAACCACATTGTCACAGTTTACAAAAAACATTCAACCCAAGGCAGAGCCTGAGCATGGAAAGTTCATCCCCGGCCATCCCAGTGTGGGAACGTTAGAAGCGATCGTGAATGGGGTTTTCATGAGACATGTTCAGCAACCCCAATGTTCTTCTCATTTGCATTGCAGTAGTGGGGTCGCTGACAGAACCCACTTTAACGAACTCATTTCTCAGCAAGCTCCTCCCCCTGCTCCTGCCAGGGCTTTCCCAGCATCCTGGCTACTGCACCACCACGGAGCCCCAGAGGGGTCCCACCCCCTGCCGTGTAACCAATGCAAGGGGCCTCCTGGCTTGTCTGAGCCTTTGCCAGGCAGCATCCTCTGACTCAAGCTGCAAGAACCTGTCAGAGCCTCGAATCCAGCAGCTGGGGGTGGAGGGTAAATATTGTCCTGGCTGCGTCCCCAGCCCCAGCCAGAGACCTGACACGACCCTTGTTTACCCCGGATCAAAGCGAAGCTCCAGCTCCATTAGGGCAGAGCAGGCTCGTCTCCAGCACAGAGCGTGGGGGAGAGGGAGGAAGAAGGACCCAGAGGGGGGTGACGTGTGTGTGTCCCCTTGTGCCTGCCCGTCTGCCTGCACCCCAGGAATGGGGGCCCCGGTAACCCCGGCCTGCCTGCTGCTCCTCCTGCACCTCACAGCTGGGACGTCTGCAGAGCCGTAAGCCCTGTCCGTGTCTGTCTGTCTGTCCGCGTGGTGGGCGGTGCGGGGGGGTTGGAAGCAGCCGAGGGCACCGATGAGGGGGCTGCTCGATCCAAAACTGACGGGACAGTTCCGTTCTCCCCTGGGATCTCAGTCCCTGACGCTGGGTCCCTCCTGGGCCCCCCTGGTCCTGCCCCTCCCAGCGGCGGGGGAGGTTAGCTCTGGTTAAGGCAGCGGCTTGGGGTGTGGAGAGCTGGGTTCAGTGCCCGGCTCTGCCACAGACGCCCTGTGCGCCCCCGGCCAGACACCGACCCTCTGAGCCTCAGCTCCCCTCTGTACCATGGGGTGATGATCCTCTGCGGCTATCTGCTCCCGTTGGCCTGTCACTTCCTCGGGCCGCGGCCTGTCTCTGCCTGCGGGTCTGTCCAGTCCCAGTGCAGGGGGCCCAGGCTGGGCTGGGTCTCTAGGCACCAGTGAAATAGAACAGGAATTACCAACAAACACAGTGCGTTCAACGAACGTCTCAGCGAGAACCTGGGAGTGCCCCGAAGGTGCAAACGCCGAAGGGTTCCTGTGAGAACGTGCGGAGGCCCCGGGTACAGACTGGTCTGGGGGTGGGGGTGGGGCATGACAGAGGCTGCAGTTACTGGCTGCAAAGGGCTCAGGTGCTCAGTACAGGCCCAGACTAACCAGCCTCCCCCCGCCTTGCACAGGGGTCTCTGCTCACTCACAGCGCCACTATCTGCCCCCTTCTGGGCAGACCAAGCAGCCAAGAGGCTGGGGATGGATTGGGACTGAGCCCCTCTCTGTGCCCCCGGGGCCCCTCCAGCTCCGCGGGAGGCAAGCTGGGGCAGGGGAAGGAGCAGGGGTGCCTTGCTCTGTCCCTGCCCTAGGTTAGAGAAACGAATCAGCCTCCAGCACCATCGACCCAGCTCTGTCCCAGCAGGAGGGACATTCAGAAAGCGGGAGTCACCCCGGTCCTGGGGGAGGCTGTGGGCTGTCCCCTCCCATCCCCCTCCCCCACTGCCCACGGTGCTTTCCCCTCCCCAGGCACTATGTGGTGGTGAGCCCAGCCGTGTTCTACCACCCGCACACGGGGACGGTGTCAGTTCATCTCAGCGACCTCAACGAGACCGTCCGGGTGAGCGTCCGGCTGGAGAGGGGGGATGGGCCCAGCGCTATCACCCTGCTGGAGAGAGAGGTCCAGGAGCCCCGTCTGCACGAGAACGTGCGCTTCCAGGTGAGCCCCCACCCGCAACCATCGGCACGGCCCCGGGCACTGGCCATGGGCACGGAGCCCGTCAGCCCCGGGTCTGCAGCCCAGCCTCAGGCCCCGGGCACAGCAGGGCTCAGGGGACTGGCCATGGGCACGGAGCTGGTCACTCAATGGGCAGCTGTAGCCACAGAACTCGAGCCCATCCCTCAGCAGCGACAGGCAGGAGGGAGCGGGGATGGGGTGGGGGGTACAGAGAGCGCCCTGGCTTCCAACTCCATTGAGCTCCCCAGGTTCATGCTCCCTCCCATTCAGGGCCCCCAGGCTGGGGATGGGGGTTCCTGTGGTTGGGGGGGGCTGGAACAGGGACCAGGGCTGGTGCAAGGATATTTTGCGCCCTAGGCGAAACTTCCACCTCGCCCCCACCCACCCCCCCAAAAAATAAATCACATACATTATACACAATACACGGTCACAGAGTAACATGTTATAATTTATGCAGGCATAACACAGCAGCAGGGCTTAAAACTCAGACAGGGCCACCCAGAGGATTCAGGGGGCCTGGGGCAAAGCAATTTTGGGGGCCCCTTTCATAAAAAAAGTTGCAATACTCTAGTAACGTATTTGGAAATGTAAAAAATAACCAGTGAAATACATTCAAAAATTAATTTGTAATCATTTGAAAATACACTAAATACATTATTTAAAAACATTAAAAGCTGTAATAGTATGTATACATTTGCAATTACATAATGGGCTCTTGCTGGGTGATGGTTGGTGCCAATGGGCTGTCGCTGCCTGGGGGTCGTGCTGCTGTTGCCCAGGGCTTGGTGGGGAGCTGGGCTCTGGGTTCGGGGGTGCCCGGCTCACAGGGGCTGGGCTCAGGGATGTGGGGAGATGGGGTTGGGGGGTGCCCAGCTCAGAGGGGCTGGGCTCGGAGCTGGGGGTCAGGGCTGTGTGTGGGGGATGGGGTCGGGGGGGTGCCTGGCCCTGGCCCCTTACCATGCTGCTTACGACTTCTCCATACTCGTGGGGCAGGCGGAGCCTCTGACATACTCGTGGGGGCCCCTGCGGGGCCCGGGGCCTCAGGCAAATTGCCCCACTTCCCCCCGCACCCGCTCGCATGGCCCTGCACTCAGATACCGGGCATGACAGAGGCTGGAGCAGAGAGAGGGGGGCACTGGGGCAGCTCAGCTCTGTAGGCTGCCGTCCTCTCCAGCCGCCCACGCACAAGGGGAGCAGGAGCAGGGACCAGCCAAGGACCAAGGGGGCAGGAGCACAGGCGCCTGAGGCCAAGCTGTGTGGGGAAGCAACACAGGGGCGTCGGGGTCCTCTTTCTTCCTCCGCTCCACCAGACCGCCGCCTGAGGCTCTTTTCTTCTCCGTGCCCCCCGCTGGGGCCGACCGTGGAGGCTGAGCCAGGAGGCAGCCGCCCCTTTCCTCCAGAAGCCCTGCTGAGTTGCGCCCGTCGCCGTCGCCGGGCTCGTGCCACCTGCCGTAAGCAGAGCTGCAGAACTCTGCCCAGCCGCCGGCGCACCCGCCGGCAATGACAGGAATCACACGGGATGGAGCGGCCGCTGCGCTGGGGGGGAGAGGGAGTCTGAGCCGCTGGCAGGTAGCCCAGGGGTTCCCCTGTGTCCGCGTGCCACCGGCAGCCCAGCGGTTCCCCTGAGTCAGCGCACCGCTGGCAGGGGAACAGATGGGCTGCCGGCAGTGCGTGGACACAGGGGAACTCCTGGGCTGCCTGCCAGCGGCCTCAGACTCTCTCTCCCTCCCAGCGCAGCAGCCGCTGGAATGCTTTAAAAAAAAATTGGGGGCGCCGCTTTTTGTCACCCCCAAATCTTGGCGTCCTAGGCAACTGCCTAGTTGGCCTAAATGGTAGCACCGGCCCTGACGGGGACTCACAAACTACCACTCCCCTCCCCCCCCCACGTGATAGCGGGTCTGCACCATGACCGGCCCATTACTGGCCGCTGTGGCCTTGCTGGGGTTTCCCGTGTGCAG